GGTTCAAACCTACTTTTTAGTCCAGTGCATTAACCCACAGCACCACACCAGAAAGCCAGCTGTTGTTGTTGTGTGCCATTGAGCCAGTTCCAACTCACAGCAACCCTGTATGAGGGTTTCCAAGAATAGCTGGTGGGTTTGAGCTGGCGAACTTGTGGTTACCTGTCCAGTATTTACCCTACGGTGCCACACCAAGACTGAAAAAAGTCAACTAGGAGAAGAAAATTTGTGTTTCTATTGAAAGAGCAGGTTTATTAGTGGACAAGACTATCTCATTTAGGACTAGGAATGCTCCAAAACTCTGGTGCAAACAATTAAGTTTAGATTAAATCATTGCACAGAAAAAGTTGGTTGCTCTAGAGAAAGAAACTTAAAATATACCAGGCTACCATTCCATTCTGCATGTCACATTCTGTGTAAGTAGCACATCCAAAGGTGTGCCATGTGGCACCCTCACAGGTGCATCTCCAAGCTCGGCTGCAGAACAGAACATCATCTGCTCATATGCAAGTTCAAGTTGAAGCTGAAGAAAATTACAAGTCCATGAGAGACCTTGACTATATCCCATTTGAATTTGGAAACCATCTTGAGAATAGATCGGATGCATTGAACACTAATGACCAAGAACAGACAAGTTGCGGGATGACACCAAGGACATCATACATGAAGAAAGCAAGAGGTTACTTAAAAGATTGGTAAAAAGAAAAGACCAAACAGATGTCAGAAAACACTCTGAAATTTGCTTTTGAGTGTAGATTTGTTAAAGTAGACCAAAAAAAAATGATAAAGTAAATGACCATCATCTTATGTCTCACTCACAGACCTCATGTTAATGGTGACTGCAATTTTTTGCTGAAAACTAAGTCCCACGGAAAAGTGCACTGACAACACAAACATGCTGATCCTCTTTTTTGTCTATTTGTTTCCAAAAGATGAGTCAAAGATGAGCTTTTCTTCTGTATTAACTCAAATGTGTGAGATCTTTTCTCTACAATAGGCACAAATATGAATCTCTTCCAGTCTTGCAAATTTCTTGGCATAGATGAATGAGTGCCTCTAGTGCTACATTCACTGGCTGAAATATCTCAGTTGATATTCCATCAATTCCTGGATTGATATTGGCCATTTCGAATCAGACAGTCATATGAGGCTTCAAAAAGTTCATGAGAGGACTCCATTATCTCTAAATTCTCTTTCTTCCATGAACTTTTGAAACCCCCTGTTATGATCCACTGAAGGAGCTCTGGTAGCGTACTGGTTACGAATCAGGCTGCGAACCACAAGGTCTGCAGTACGAAACTACCAGCTGCTCTGCGGGAGAAAGATGAGGTGATCTGCTCCTGTAAAGATTTACAGCCTCGCAAACCCTGTTCAGGGTTGCTATGGGTCGAAACCAATTCAACGGCACTTAACAACAACAACAACAATTATGATCCACTATGCCAGGAATGACAAACTGAAGAGGAATGGTGTTACATTCACTGTCAAAAAGAACATTTCAGGATCCAGTCTGAACTTCAACACTGTCAGTGATAACTTAACGTCTACATGATTACAAGAAAGAACAGTTAATACAACTGTTCTTCATATTTATACATCAACCACTAATGTCAGAAAAGAAAAATTTGGAAAAAATGTACCAATTTCTTCAGTCTGAAACTGACAAAACTTGCAATCAAGAGGCACTGATAACTACTGCAGGCAGATGTTCGAAAGTTAAAAACAAAGAAGGCTCATTATTTGGAAAATATGGCCTTGATGATAAAAATGACCCTAGAAATTGAATGAGAAAATCTTGCAATACCAACAACCTATTCTTAAGAAATACCTTTATTTAACAACATAAAGGGTGACTATACATGTGAATCTCACCAGATGGGATACACAGGAATCAAATTAAAATATCTGTGCAAACAGAAAATAGAGCACCTCCATCTCATCAGTCAGAACAAAGCCAAGCTCGGCTGCAGAACAGAACATCATCTGCTCATATGCAAGTTCAAGTTGAAGCTGAAGAAAATTACAAGTCCATGAGAGACCTTGACTATATCCCATTTGAATTTGGAAACCATCTTGAGACTAGATCGGATGCATTGAACACTAATGACCAAGAACAGACAAGTTGCGGGATGACACCAAGGACATCATACATGAAGAAAGCAAGAGGTTACTTAAAAGATTGGTAAAAAGAAAAGACCAAACAGATGTCAGAAAACACTCTGAAATTTGCTTTTGAGTGTAGATTTGTTAAAGTAGACCAAAAAAAAATGATAAAGTAAATGAGCTAAACAGAAATTTCAAAGGGCAGCTTGGAAAGGCAAAGTAAAGCATTCTAATGAAATATGCAAAGATCTGGAAATAGAAAAACAAAATAACAGTCTAGACATTTCTGAAAAAACTTAAAAAAAAAAAAAAAAATCAACCCTCGGATGTAACATTGATGGATTCTATGGACAAATAATAAACAATGAAGAAAGCACCAAAAAAGGATGTAAGGAATACACAGGGACACTATATGAAAAAGAAACGATCCATATTCAACCATCTCAGGAGGTAGCATATAATAAAGAACTGATGGTATTGAAGGAAGAAGTCCGCCCTGCACTGAAGACACTGGCAAAAACTAAGGCTCAAGAAATTGACGGCATACCAACTGAAATGTGTCAACAAACTGAGGTGCTCAGACATGTAAGCCAAGAAATTTAGAAGACAGCTACCTGGTCGACTGGAAGAAATCTTCCTGTGCCCATTCCAAAGAAAAGCAATCCAGCAGAATGTGTGAACAATATCATTACTGTCACACACAAGTAAAACACTGCTGAAAATCATTTAAAAATGGCTGCAGCAAGACATAAACAGAGAACTACCAGAAATGCAAGCCAGATGCAGAAGAGGATATGGAATGAGGGATATCACTGACGGATAGCAGATGGATTTTGGCTGAAAGCAGAGACTACTAGAAAGATTTCACCTGTGTCTTACTGACTATGCAAAGGTATTCAACTGTGAGGGTCATAAGAGGTTATGGATAATATTGCAAAAAAGGGAATTCTAGAACACTTTATTGTGCTCATGTGGTCCCTGTGTACAGACCAAGAGGCGGTTGTTCAAACAGAACAAGGGGAAACTGTGTGGTTTAAAATCAGGAAAAGTGTGCATCGGGGTTATATTCTTTCACCCTATTTATTCAGTCTGTGTGCTGAGCAAACAATATGAGAAGCTGCACAGTATGAAGAAGAACAGTAGGAGGATTGGAGAGAGACTCATTAAAAACCTGCATTGTGCAGATGATTCAACCTTGCTTCCCGAAAGTGAAGATTTGAAGCACTTCCTGATGAAGATCAAAGACTTTACTATGGATTATATTTCAACATAAAGAAAACAAAAATCCTCATAACTGTGCCAATAAGCAACATCATGATAAATGAAGAAAAGATTGAAGCTATCAAGGAATTCATTTTACTTTGGTCTGCAATCATCACTCATGGAAGCAGCAATCAAGAAATCCAATAATGTACTGCATTGGGCAAATCTGCTGCAGAAGAACTCTAAGTGTCCAAAAGTAATGATGTCATTTTGAGGACTAAGGTGTGCCTGACCCAAGTCATGGTATTTTCAATACCCTCACATGCATGTGTAAGCTGGACAATAAGTAAGAAGAATTGATGTGTTTGAATTATGATGTTGGCAAAGAATATTGAGTATACCAAGGACTGCTAGAAGAACGAACAAATCTGTCTTGGAAGAAGTACAGCCAGAATGTTCCTTAGTGAGGAAGACTTTGGATAAGTTATCAGTCAGTACCAGTCCCTGGATAAGGGTATAATACTTGGTAAAGTGGAAGGATGAATGTCAAAGGAGACCCTTGATCAGATGGATTGATACAGTGGCTGCAAAAAAGAGCTCACACATAGCAGCAATTGTGAGGATGAGGATGGACAACATGCACAACTAGGCAGCGTTTAATTCTGTTGTACATAGGATTGCTATGAGGCAGACTGACTTGACAGCACCTTACAGCAAGGTAGGCTTGTAGCTTCAAAAATTCCAGTATTGTTTGATTCCATTTTTCTACCAACTTTTGGAATCCCCTCATATTTTCTATAGAGATAGGAAACCAAAGAGTAGATATTACATAATTTGCCCTACATCACAAAGATAGCCCGAGCACCTGGTCATCTAAATCCTAATCTTATTTCTCAATACAGCTGGATTCAGCAATCCTGTACAGTGTTTTCAAGGCTATAAAACTTTATGGGAGAAGAAAACCTCATCTTTCTCCCACAGAGCAGACGGGTAGATTTGAATTGGTAACCTTGCAATTTGCCGGTCAACTTGTAACCCACTATACTAGAACTTAAAAAAGTTAGGAAAAGCTTGCTAGACCCATGACACCACAACAATTTTACTTGTGGTTTAAATGCTACACATTCTAAATGTAACAAATAGAAGGTCCTTTTTTAAGTGTTTTACCAAAGCATATGTAAGGAGCTCTGGTAGCATAGTGGTTCCGAATCAGGCTGCCAACCTCAAAGTCAGCAGTTTGAAACTACCACCTGTTCCACGGAAGAAAGATGAGGCTTTCAGCTCCCGTAAAGATTTACAACCTCAGAAACCCTATGCTGGGTTGCTGTGCGTCAGAACCAACTCCACAGCATACCACCACCACCACCAAAGCATATGTAAAAGGAAGAGTCAACATCATTATTTCAGCTACTAAATTGGCCATTAGTTGCAGCCATTTGGATTATGTTGTTGTATGCTGTCAAGTCGGTTCTGATTCATAGCGACCCTATATAGGGTTTCCGAGGAGTGGCTGGTTAGGTTTGACTGTCAACCTTGCAGTTCAAATTGACTTGTGGTTGAGTGCATTATCCTGCAGCAGCACACATTTGGCATATAGGATCTTGTAAGACTCAGAGACTAAAAGCCACTTGAGATGGGAACTAGAGAATAGTATCTGATGCCACATATATAATTCTCCTTTTCCTGTCACTTACCTTGATGGATACTTTAGTGAGTAAGCAGCAGCCAAGAATCCACCCAAGTTGTGTCCAAGCAAGATCACTTTGTCCAATCCAAGGGCACATCTCCACTCTTCAATGGAATCTACAAATTGATTCTCCACTTCTTCTGCATCACTGTCAAACCTGGGTCTACTACTTCGTCCAAAGCCCAATAGGTCAAATGCATAAACAGGCCTATTGGTGGAAAGATCTTCAAAATTTAGTGCCCAGAGTCCAAGTCCTCCTCCAAAACCATGGAGGAGGACAAGTGGTGTCTTATTTGGAATATTGCAAGAGAACTTCAGTGTCCATATTTTGTTTCCATTAGATATACAAACAGGTTCTTTTTTGTATATGCAGGGAACACCTAATGAAAACATAAAAGAGAAATTCTGCTTAGCTTCATTGCTCCTGAGAAAGGGAGTACTGTCAGAGAAATAAAAATTAATCATCTAGAAACCATTTCATTTTCAGACACATGATTTTTACCTAAATTAATTTATATTAGCCCTTTAAAAAGAAAAAAGAAAAAAAAAAAGCACATTGTAATTTAATCAAATCTTAATCCCCATGTTATACATCTAAGTGGAAAGTATCAACTGTGGCCAAGGTCTTTTGACAAGTCACAGTACCTCCTTGGACTTCTTTCCACATGTATCAAGTAAGGGTACATACTCCAATAACTAAAGAGGAACTTAGTGGTCACTATGTTCACTATTTTAAGGTTCCTTGCTTTGTAGACAATAACAAAATCAGAACACCTTGGATATGTAGAACATTTGACAGATTAAATATTGAAGATTGAAGTCATACTTGAAGGAAGCCTTTCTCCCTAAAAAGTAATCATAAATTTGTTGTTATTGTTGTTGTTAAGTGCCATCAAGTCACTTCCAACCCACAGCAACCCTGTATAGGGTTTGCAAGGAGTGGCTAGTGAGTTTGAACCACCGACCGTGCAGTTCAACCCAACCTTGTGGTCGAGTGCTTACCCGACAGCCCAACACCAGGATTTCATCATAAATTCAGAGAAGGATTAATGGTATGGGAATGAGGTGGCTCTGTAGGATAAGCACTTGACAGGGGAAGCAAAGTCAGTAGCCCACTCACCACTCCATGGGAGAAATTGGAGGTTTTCTGCTCCCATAAAGATATATATAGCCTCAGAGACCCTATACAGGGTTGCTTGGAACCAACTCGATGATACTGAACAACAACAATGCTCTCTGTATTCAAAATGTAACTGAAATCTTAAGTCATTTCAAAGCTCAGTGGAAAAATGTCAGTAAAAACTCCTCAGCATGAAGCACCAGGTAACCTAAGTTCCAAATCCCACAATTTCTCTAGAAATTGCAAATAACTACAATTTTGTAGGTAAAAACTCTTACCTATCTTCACTATTGTGGGACTAAATACTTCAAACTACATATATACACACACAAAAATTAATGTAATTTGAAATTAATTTATATAAATATTGTTGTTAAGTGTCACGAGTCATTTCAGATTCATGGTGATCCTGTATAGGGTTTTCCTAGGATAGGCTAGTGGGTATGAAACACTGACCTTGTTAGCAGTTCATTGCTTATCCTATTGCCTCATATCACAACTGATATTATATGCACTCATAAGTTTTTTTTAACGTGTATTCATCTGCAATTAACAGTTTCTACCCTTTAACTAAAGAAGCCATCTCAGGTTCTGTACCCAGATGATGGCAGCATGCATTCAGCATATTCACAAAGATCATGCCCCCAAGTAGAGGAAATGCCACCAGTTTAGAAAAGGAGGTAATCCGGAATTAGTGCCAAGCCAAACCACGTCAGTAGTTAGAACACAATATTGTTTATCCCATAAAAACCATCTGTAATATTTACTAGAGAGTCAACCCCACTGTATTAATTGGTTTTCACATATTTAGTATTCAGTAGCAAATCAACATACTTAGTAGTTGCATGAACTGGGTATCTACAATGTATTTTTTTATTTGGAAAAACCATAAGGACGTTCTAAGCTTTGTAAATAATTGTTATATGGAATAAGTAAAATTCATTTTCCCTTTAAATTACATCCAAGATGGCTAATCTTTCCTTCCTATAGATATATCCAGTTATGATCACTTACTTCTGAATCACACAAATATTTAAATGTACAAATGACAACAGCAAAAATCACTTGTATAAAGAAAACGGAATTGCAAATGGATTTACTTCTCAACTCAGTTACCTCATGTGAACTTGAAAGAAACAGAGGTAGACACACATCTGCATCTATTATATTTGTATGTGAACTGCACCACTCAACCCACTCCTCTAAGTTGTCTCAGCAGGACAAAGAGCACAATAAAGACCACTGCTTGAAAGTATAACCACAAATACCTGGAAATACATGGATGGCACAAGTTTGGGTAAATTTCAATGTTCATAAGAAGCATAAAAAGTCTCTGCATCACTTTAAATGTACATTTAAGGAATCCTAAAATTGGTTGGTATAGCTGTGTGTTGTTGAGTTGATTGCAACTCATGGTGACCCCAAGTGACTGAGGTGAGCTGCAGAGTATCCTGTAATCATAATAGAAGCAGGTCACCAGGTCTTATCCCCTGGTGAGTTCAAACCACCAACCTTTCAGTTAGCAGTCAAGTGCTTAGCCACTGGGCTTAACCACCAGGGCTCTTCCTAATTGCTCATTCTATAGGTTATGAAACCTGAAGCTAAAAAAAGTGTCTTACCTATGATTCTATTGCTACCTGGTTGTAGATGTGGGCCTAGAACTAGGTTTCTAGTTCCAGTTCCGGTTCCATGTTTGTTCCACAGTACAAAGCATACTCTCTTTCAGCATCAAATGCCATGGCAAACAGCAACCTGCCCGGGAACTCTGAGGCTCATCTAGAGCCTGTTCTCAAACTGCACTCTCAGGGCCTCTTGCAGGTCCCTGACACCCTTCAAGAGGTCTAAAAGGTCACAAGTATTTTCACAAGAATATTAAAACTGTGTTTGCCTTTTTCACGTTCATTCTCTCATGGATATACAGTGAAGTTTTCTAGAGATCACACATGTAATTACCCAACAGATTGAATACAGAAGCAGATAAGAGAATCTATCAATCTTATAATAATAAGCTGGACACTGCAGCGATTTACAAATATGAAAAAATGCCACTCTTCTCACTACATATATGGGAGAAATTATTTTTCATATATATGTTACTTAATTAACCTGAAATAGGTTTATTATGTTATTTTAAAGTAAATTAATAAATTAACATATTTTAATTGGTCCATTTTAATTTCTAAAAAAACTCATTTTGAGTTTTATTAATAATTAGAAAATGGATTGTACAAAGTATGAATCTAGGAAAATTGGAAGTTATCAAAAATCAAATGGAATGCAGACAGATTAATATCCTAGTAAGCTGAAATGGGCTGGTGGTATTGGTCACTTTGAATATAACAATCATGGTTTACAGTGCCAGAATGACAAACTGAAGAAAATGATGTCACATTCATCATCAAAAAGATTTCAAGATCCATCTTGAAGTATAATGATGTCTGTAATAGTATAATATCCACATGCCTACAAGGAAGACCAGTGATACCACTACTATTCAAATTAGCACACCAACCACTAAAGCTAGTGATGGTGAAACTCAAGAATTCTACAAACTTCTTCAGTCTGAAATTAGTCAAACATATTAGTGGTTACGAATCGGGCTGCGAACCTTGTGGTTAGCAGTTCGAATCTACCAGCTGTTCTGCAAAAGAAAGATGAGGCTTTCTGCTCCCGTAAAGATTTACAGCCTCAGAAACCCTGTACAGGGTCGCTATGGGCCAGAACCGACTCCACAACACATAACAACAACAACAACATAATCAAGAAGTATTGATAATTACTGGTGATTGGAAAGCAAAGGCTAGAATGAAAGAACATGTATGTGTACTTGGAAAATATGGCCCTAGTGATAGAAATGATGCTAGAGATCGCCTGACAGATATTTGCAAGACCAATGACTTATTCATTACAAACACCTTTTAAAATAACATAAAAGATGTCTATACTAACGGGCCTCACTAGATGGAATACACAGAAATTAAACTGACTACACCTGTGGGAAGAGATGGTAGAAAAATTCCATTTCATTAGACAAAATAAGGCCAGGGACAGACTGTGGAAAAGACCATCAATTGCTCATATGAAAGTTCAAGCTGAAGCTAGAGAAAATTAAAACAGGCCCATATGAGCCAAAATTCGACCTTGAACACATCCCACCTGAATTTAGAAATAAATCATCTCAAGAACCAATTTTATGCATTAGACACTAATGACCATAACATTAGAAGAGCTGTGGATGACATCAAGGAAAACATATAGGAAAAAAGCAAAAGGTCATTAAGAAGACAAAAAGGAAGAGACCCAAAGGAATGTCAGAAGAGACTCTGAATCTTGCTCTCCAGTGTAGAGATGCTAAAGTAAATGGAAGAAATGAGGAAATAAAAGAGTTGAACTGAAAATTTCAGAGGGTTGCTTGAGAAGACAAGGTCAAGTAATAAGATGAAATGTGCAAAGACTTGGAGTTAGAAACCAAAAGGGAAGAACATGTTCAGCATTTTTCAAGCTGAACTAACTGAAGAAAAAAATTCAAGCCTAAACTTTCAGTACTGAAGAATTTTATGGGCAAAATGGAGACCTGGTGTGGTGTTGGGGATTAAAGCAGTGGACCATAAGAGCAATGTAAACCACAAGGTCAGGAGGGGTTCAAACTCACAAGGCACTCCTTGAAAACCCTATACAGGGTTGCTATGACTCGGAGGCAACCTTGTTAACACTTAACAACAACATGGGCAAAATACTGAATGATGCAGAAGGCATCAAAAGAAGAGGGGAAGAATACACAGAGTCACTGAACCAAAAAGAAATGATTAATGTTCAACCATTTCAAGAGATGGCATTAAAAGAAGAAGTCCAAGGCACATTGAAGGCATCAGCAGAGAACAAGACTCTGGGGATTGATGGAATACAAATTGAAATCTTTCAACAAACTGATGCAGCACTGGAGGTGCTCACTCATCTATGCCAAGAAATTTGTAAGATAACCACCTGGCCAACTAACTGGAAGAGATCCAGATATGTGCCCATTCCAAAGAGAGGTAAACCAATAGATTGTGGAAATCATCAGGCAATATCATTAATATTGCATGCAAGTAAAATTTTGCTACAGGTAAGGCTAAAACAGGGGCGACCATACACGGACAGAAAACTTTCAGAGGTTTAAGCTAGATTCAGAAGAGGATGAGGAGCAAGGGGTATCAGTGCTGGTGTCTTGGCTGAAAGCAGAGAATATCAGAAAGATGTTTACCTGCCCTTTATTGACTATGCAAAGGCTTTGGACAACACTTTAGAGAATGTATTTTGGAACACTTAAATGTTTTCAGGAGGAACCTGTACATAGACCAAGAGGCAGTTGTTGAAGCAGAACAAGGAAACACCACATGGCGTACAGCTTTAGGCAAATTTGGTATGCAGACCTTTTTAAAGAGTTTAATGGCAAAGATGCCATTTTGAGGGCTAAGGTGTACCTGACCCAAGCAGTGGTATTTTCAATAGCCTCATACGCACGTGAAAGTTGGACAATGAATAATGAAGACTGTAGAAGATTTGATGTATTTGAGTTATGGTATTGGAGAAGAATATAAAAAGTACCATGGACTGCTAGGAGAACAAACAAATCTTTGCTGGAAGAAGTATAACCAAAATACTTCTTAGAAGCCAGGATGGCGAGACTTCATCTCTCATACTTTGGACATATTATCAGGAGGGACCAGTTCCTATAGGACATCATGCTTGGTAAAGTGGAGGGTCAGTGAAAAAGAGGAAGCTCCCCAATGAGATGGATTGGTACAGTGGCAGCAGTAATGGGCTCAAGTTTAACAATGATTGTAAGGATGGCGCAGGACGAGGCAGTGTTTACTTTTGTTGTGCATAAGGTTGCTATGAGTCAGAACCAACGTGACAGCACTTAACAAAAACAATTTCTAATATTGATAGCTATAACCCATAATTAAAGTTCCTTGGGGGTCCTTATTAACAGAGTACAAAGGGTCCTGAGATCAAAATGTCTGAGAACCACTGCTTCACACATTTCTGTACTTGCTGATGTGAAGGGAAGAGGAAAAGAATTAATTGGCAAACAACTGCTGTTGTTGTTAAGTGTGGTCAAGCTAATTCCAACTCATAGCAACCCTAAATAGGGTTTCCGAACAGCAGCTGGTGGGTTTGAACTGCCAACAGTTAACAACACCACAACATCTATCTCCAGTTTCAGGGAAATGCAATGTATCAAATCTATTTTAGTAAATAGCTCAGTTTACTTACAAGAAGAAAACCTTACATTTTAAAATTTTCTCTTCAGCTTCTTTAAGGTGTGATGTAGATGTAGGGCACCATGTGGGAAGCCAACCAGTTAGCCATCCTGACCTAAGGTATCAAAAACAAAATACAAAAAGGACGAGTTAATGCTTTTCTCAATTCCCAACTGTTACATATGAAGAAGAAAAGCAGAATAGGGAATTTAGTGCCTGTGTGATGAAGACATATGTGACAAAATGTGCTTTTTTAGGTGTAAAGCATTGTGCTAAGACTGGGATACAGAGATTTTACTTTAGATATTTGTTACCTGCAAAATACATATTAAGACATCTTATCTTCGGGGGTGTTTGTTGTTGATTGTTGCCAGGAAGCCCTTCCTACTCATGAAGACCCTATGCCTCCAGTATAGAAGTGTTCCATAAGAAAAGTCAGATTCCAGATGACTATGTAGGGGATAAAAGTGAAGGGACGAGAAAAGGAAAACAAGACATTCCCCATCACTATCCTGCAGCAAAACAGACTCTTACCAGGATGCAAGAGCAAAAACAGTTTATTTGAACTGTAAAATGGCACCTGCAGTATGGGGAGAAGGGATGACAGAAACTTTAAAAAAAAAAAACAACCTTCAAATCTCAAGGGAAACAGTATGAATTGCCCTATACAAACACAGAGGCTGGCATGAGTACTGTCTGCCTAAAACTGGTTCATTGTTCATGGAAAAGCAAAAGCACTTTGGATTTTAGTACATTGTAGATGAACATAATGACCCAGTATCCAGGAGACTGTGAGGTTGGCACAAGCTGGGCAGTGTATCATTCTGTTGTGCATAAGGTCACTATGACTTGGTTCTGACTTGACTGCACCTAACAACAACAATCCAAGAGAAGCCAGTAGTTGAACAGAGAAAACAAGGAAGCAGGCCTGAGGCAATAAGGGTGGGAGAGGGGGGTGATTGCAGCTGACATACTTTGCCAATAACCATTCCGAGAGGTGAGAGGAGAGTTTAATATACAGGTAACAGCTGAACCACAGGGGCGCTGCAATGATCATGCCATCTGACAGTATGCAAGAGCTCAACACATGGTGGTTAATATTTTAAAATGAGAACTTTCTGAGGAAAGGAGGCTAGCTACTACAGATTCTAGCCAACTACTACAAATTCCAAATGAGAGGTCAGGGTCCGCACCAAGGCTTTAGTAATAAGGATGGAGGTGAGAAGTTGAGACCAAGGAATATTTAAGAAGTAAAATGAGCTGGATTTGAGAATTGGTTGAATGTACAGAAAGCATCATAGAGAACTTCCAGGTTTCTGCTGAGGTTTGTAACAAGGGCCACAGCACTCCTCTGGCCCTTGTTACAGATTTAGCTGTTACTGCTGTGGTTATTTGTCTGCATTATTTGTTTACAGTTTTGTCTATCCTACTGCATTACTTGGCTCATGTTAGTGTCATCCTTATATCCTCAGTGCCAAACATACCAACTGGCTGGTGGCCCTGAGTGTACTTGGTAACCTATTTGTGGATGGGAACTGAAGGTCTTGGTCATAAGAAATAACAGAGATGGAAGGAAGGCAGATAGAGTTCACATCTACAAGCAAAGTGCACTTAGAGAACCACAGGTTCTTTAACAGGAGATAGGGCAGAGCAAGGACCTGAATCTCCTACCAAGTCAAAAGAAAAACAAACAGTGAAACTAACAAATAATTTAAAGAAGCATATTAGGAAAAGAGTAATCAACTGAACAAGCAAAAAAGAAAGCCCAGTAACCTAATATGCACACCTTTTTTTCATATAAAGAAGTTATTCCTTTTCAACTTTCCTATTTCTCTTTTTGTCTTTAAGACATAAGAACTTGCTAGTATGTTTATAAGTACCACACACACTCTGTACATACACACATACAGAAGAATAAAGAACAGGACAATAAGTGGAGATACTTGGTCAGGTTTTCATGACAAGCAATATATTTTAGAGATACTATTTGAAGAAAAAGATTCTGAAGATATATAATAATTTGCATTCCGATGAGGCTCTCCTCTACTCTAATAACCTGCTGCCAAATTCAAACCTTCTGCATTAACAGGATAAAATGGTGAGACTTCTCAACATTCGCTATAAATATTATATATAATTCATCATCAAGGTATAAACATGACAGAAAACACTACTATTAATCTGTTTGTAAGGCTATAAAACATATTTACAAATTATCAAGGTTTCAGTAGTGTAGTTTTCAATTGTTGAAAAATACAGTTAATAAGAAATTAAAAGAATTTCATGATTTTTAGAGAGCTTTGTTAAAGTAAACTATATTAAGCTCTTTATATAATCATCAAGGTTCATCTTAGACCTTAAAAACAGGAAGTTACTTACAACTCAGATCTCACCAATTTTCCTTAAATCACAGTAGAGTGCTTTGCCAAAGAGAATCAGAGGTCAGTATTTAAAAAAAAAAAAAAATTGGTGCCATGGACTCAAATCTCCTATTGCTCTAAATGACATCAAGACAAGTTGTTACAAAGAAAAAGCAAATGCAATATTTTTCAGTCTTAAAAACTATTACATTAAAAAAAAATACTTCAGACTCTTAATACTGTGTACACTAGAGGTATAATCTAGGAATTATGCCTACTTCTACCACTCAGTATAAAATGAACTTCCAAGAGATGGGATTGTCTTGTTTCTGCATTTTGTCATCTGTGGCCTACCCAACTCATAACAACTCGTTGCCATCAAATTGATTCTGACTCACAGTGACCCTGGAGGACACAAGAGAACTGGGTTTCCAAGACTGTAATCTTTACATAAAACTGTCTCATCTTTCTCCTGTGGAGCAACTAGTGGGTTTAAATCTCTGACCTCCTGCTTAGCAGCTGAGCACTTAACTACTTTGATACCAGAGAGCTTTAAAATAACATACTAGTGGCTTCAATTCTAGAGGAAGTCAAATAAGTTGGCTTACCATATTAACAATTTGTCTAAGAATCTGATATTTAGTTATTCAGAGTTTAAGATTAGACCCTGATTTTGTTTCCTTTAAATTTCTACTTAATCATTTAAAATATATGCCATAACATTGTACATCGTGCATGCTGTCAACATTTAATTTTCCTGGTAATCTCTGTTTTGTTTTCTAAGGCATGATCTATAGTATTACTAAACCTGAATTACACAATCTTTAGATATTGGGAAACAGTGAGAGGTTTCAGAGTACTCTGAAGAAAATGTACAGCAGTCTGGCCAATTTCCACACACACTTGGCCACTTAAACAAACATTTCTAATTAGGTTATAAGTAAAGAGTATTTCATTTTATTAGCATTTTGTTTTAAAAGGTTTCCATTCCTATACTGGTTTTATCAAGATAAAACAAATGGTTTAAGTTTATTATTGTTGTCTTATAAATTACTAACATTTCTCATTTAAAGAAATTATGTAGTTTTGACTTATTATCATAAGTATCTAATTAATCAGGGATGTGAATATATATATACATTTCTCTGAAATAATTCCTTAACTAATGAAAGATAAAAAAAAAAAAATTAAGTAGAAATTATAGCAAATAAAGACCTTTTTTCCTGGGAACTAGCCTTAAATCCTATTCTTGGTGGGGAGAGAGGGATGTATACCTCATACAACTGCAAATTAAATGACTAACATTCCATTTAATTTTAGATAAATGATAACACAATGACTCGAATTATCATTATAGAACAATGACAACGCTGTTGTTGTTGGTAAGTACCCTTGAATCATTTCCAACTCACAGAGACCCTGGATAGGGTTTTCAAGGAGCGGCTGCTGAATTTGAACTGCCAATCTTGTGGTTCAAACCGACCTTGAGGTCCAAATAACAACATAAGCCCTCAGTATACTTTACTACATTTATTAACAGTTTTAAACCTTTTTTTTTTTTTTTTTCATTTCCAACCTGTTACGGTAAAAGATCCATATTGGAGACTCACTGTTTTAGACATAGTCATGTGTTGGCAGCATTTTCCTCTGACTGTCCACCTTTCCTCACACAGTAAGCAACTCATTCTGGAGTTAGAGTGTATCATGAGTGCATCATCAAATACACATTAAGAAACTACACATGTACTTTTCTATGTACACTGCTTAACAAATATGAATTACATTTCTCTGTGTCCACTCTAAATAAATTCATTCGCATATGTAACAAAAAGAATACACAAGAATACCTAAAAAACCCTAGGACTCAAGCTTAAATATCACTTTTAGTAAGATCCTTTTACATACAATTTTTATGACACAATCAGATGAGGGTATTACAGAACCTGTGGATTCGATTAAAATCTAACAATTTATCAAAGCTAAGTTTAAACCAATATGATGTTTCAGAACAGCTATTAATTATAAATAATATAGGTCAAATCTTAAAGGAGTTATTTAGAGACTTCTGTAATATTGAAATTCATTCTCCAGTGCTGTTTTTTTATTAATTAGTCCATTCCTGGGACTATGTAATCTTATAACAAGCTCTTTGTCACAGGACTGAAATCTGAATTTGTCGGCTTGTGACTGACATTCTGGAGAACAGGCAAAGCAGGAAAGTGTGGATTGGTTCATTCAAGGTCAACAAATAAAATACTAGTCCCAACCTCCCCCAAACAATTTAAGCTCACAATCTAATTGTTGTTGAACTTAAATCAGACCTTCTTGAATATCTTATGATTAAAATATTTAAGACACAGAGCTCCAAAATGCATACTTAATCAGTTACTATGCTTTTGATCTTAATGTTTGTTATCAGCATTAATTTACAACAACTACAACAGCTAGTGTTTACTTCAAAGTCATGGTGCAGCACTGCACAGCTAACCACAAGGTCGGGGGTTTAAACCTGCCAGCTGCTCCTCGGAAACCCTATATGGGGTTTCTATGAGTCGGAATTGAACTGATGGCATTTAACAACAAGTGTTTATTTCAAATAAAAATTTCTAATAAAATTAAAGCTTAACAATTTGTAAGCTTATGTCATAATAAGACATATGAGTAAGACAAAATACTTTGCCCTCAATGAGCTGACAAAGCAAATACATAAGTAACTATACTACCAAACACAATTAAAGTACCATAAGGAAGTTTAGAAAAGTACCATGGACCTTTAGAGAAGAGAGATGACAATCTGTTTTGGGTCAGAAAAAACAACATAATCCAAGACATGAGAAATTAAGGACCAATGAATGATTAAGAACAATGAAAGATACAGCTTGGTTAGAGCCCAGTGTAGAGGGAGGAAAGAAGCCGTAAAAGCTAGGTGAACCACACTGCCTGCAGAGGGCTTTGAAGGCAGGGTGAGAACATACAATGCTTAAACAAGACTGTGTGGTTCCCGATAAAAGTAACTCCACGTTGAAAGCGCAGGAAGGTGTTATCAAGTATAATCCAGGAAAGGGAATAAGGAGAATCTTGAGTAGGTGGTTTCCAGGTGGCAAAGGAGATACTGTAGACTTTGGTTCTACTGGAGTTGGCAATAGAACTGTTATTCAAAGGCAATGAAAGGGGTTGTTGTTGTTGTTGTTAAGTGCCGTCTAGTTGATTCTGACTCATAATGACCCTGTGTAGGGTTTCCAAGGAGCAGATGGTGGGTTTGAACCACCAAACTTGCAGTTAGCAGTCCAGTGCTTATTCTACAGTGCCACATCAGGACTCCATAAAAGGAGTTGTTGTTGTTGTTAAGTGCCATCGAGTAAGTTCCAACTCATAGTGACCCCGTACGAAGTTTCCAAGGAACAGCTGGTGAGTTTGAACTGTCAACCTGGAGGTTCAAACCGACCTTGAGGTCAAGTGCTTATCCTACATGGTTCCCCACCAGGACTCCCCATAAAAGTTGTTGTTAAGTGACATCAAGTCAGTTCTGACTCATAACGACCCTATATGGGATTCTAATGAGCATCTGGTGGGTTTGAAGTGCTGATCTTGTGATTCACAGGCCAGTGCTGATTCCACAGTGCCACACCAGTAGTCCATAAAAGGAGTACGTAGGAGAAGCCAAAAGACACCATAGTTCTGAATCTAACCCAGAAGAACATAAGTAAGTGCTCTAATAGGAATAGGGAAGTTGCGGGACAAGCAAGTGGGTGTTCCATATTGCTTAGTTTGGAGGAAGGAAGGTGCACATAAGGTCCTGGTCTGGACATGCTAAATTTGAGGACTCAGGTACAAAACATCTGACACACAAACAGAAACATGACTAGAGAAGATAGCTCTGGAACGCAGATGAGAATTCAGTCCCCTCTACAGATAGGACAATGCAAGGAAACAAGATAAAAAACAAAAACAAAGAGGAACTCAGAATCTTGGGAAATGACTCTACTTAGAAAATGAGAAAAAGAGGAGGACTCAATAAAAGTGATTAATGATCCGAGGTAGGAAGAGAACCAAACTGCCATGGAAGCAGTTTGATAAACAAAGGTTTAAAAAGAGCTAGCATTACAGTATATCAAACATTGAGAAGGGCCCAAGACGGGTAAGGACTGAGACAATAAACGTGGTATGTGCTACATGGTATGTGGCACTGAATTAAGTGTTTCATGAGCATTAAGTCAGGCGACAAAGGTTGGGGAAAGAAAGGCAGCTAGCAGCAGGGACAAAAACACTAAGCTTCCTTCTTGGCGGAGGAAGAACAGCCTTTTAAAGGGTTAGAAAGGTACTCTGGTGGCACAACAGCTAAGCAGCTGACTACTAAGTAAAAACTTGACAGTTCTAATCCACTAGCCACTCAGGGGGAGAAAGACTTGGGAATCTGCTTCCGTAAACATTACAGCCAAGAAAACCCTATGGGGACAGTTCTACTCTGTTACACAGGGTCCTTATGAGTTGAAAATCCCTGAATGGCACTAACAACAACAAAATTGAGAACCACTCTTATCTTATCTCTCTGAGTCTGTGGGCAGTGGGTTAGCTGTTTTATTGTTTAGTTTTAAAATTTTTCTATGGCAAAGAACTGCATTCAAATTCTAATGTAAACCCACTGGAGTGCTGGTAAAATAATTCTATGGGGAGGTTGTTGTTGTTAGGTGCCTGAGAGTTCCGACTCATAGGGACACAATGTACAAGAGACTGAAACACTGCTCAGTCCTTCAGTATTCACAATTCTTGCTATGTTTGAGGCCCTTATTGTAGACACAATGGCAGTCCATCTTGTTGAAGGGTCTTCCTTTTTTAGCTGTTGTGTCTCTATCAAACATGATGTCCTTCTCCATGGTCTAATCTCTCCTGATCATAAGTAAGTGAGATGAAGTCTGACCATCCTCACTTCTAGGAAATATTCTGGCTGTACTTCTTCCATGACAGATTTGTTCATTTTCCTAGCTGTCCATGGGGAGTTTGTGGGGAGAAAATCCCTTATTTGTAGCATTTGGTGATTTCCACAGTGTAAATACTCCTACCATGGCTAATTTCGAGCAGCCAACAGTTGGCAAAATTCCTGAAAATTCAGCAATAGCTAGCCTGTGCAAAATAACTCCAGCACACCATACTTCAAACTACTTCTTTTATAGCTTATCCTGAAACTGGGCAATTCTTATTATGGATGGCAGTTTTCCTCTAAACTTAACTAATACTTCATCATTCCCTGTACCAATCTTGCAGTAATTCAGAGAAATTTGCCCTACTCTTGTTACATTTAGCTTTCTCAACTGTATTGCAAATGAAAAGGGTTAGATGTTGAAAACCAAATTGGATACGCCTGTCTTCACTAACAGAGTTACAAAGAAAGAGACCAGAAGCAACATACTTCAAAAAGTCTTCAGATAACAGTTTTATCAATGTTTTCTTCGTTAATACCATCTCCCATCTAAACCTGAAATATCTTAAGGACGGGACATGTTGTTGATGTTAAGTGTCATCAGTTCGTTTCAACTCATAGTTGTCCAGTATAGGGTTTCTAAGAAAGGCTGGTTGGTTTGAACTGCTGACCTTGTGGCTATCTTAAGGATAGGGAACTTGATTTAAGATTTTGCTTTCCCACTAGGTTCTTGGGATGCTTCCATTGTGGAGTAACCAAATTTAAAAACAAGACAGAAAAGAACAAAAAATGTGTGCTTTCGGTAAATACAAGGATTCAATAATGAAGTATCAATAAAGCATGCAGAAGACACAGAAGTCTCAATACCAGTGAGGCAGAAGAACTACAGGGAAAACTCCTTAGACGAAATCCAGATGCTACTGGGGATTCCAATGTAGCCTCGCTACTTGCTAGGGGGTGTTAGTGGCCCCCCAGTACCAGTTTCACTTGAAAACCAGAAACAATAATACCTACCACACAGGGTTGGCCTCAGGTTTAATAAAACAATGTTTGGGGAACACTAAGCAGGAACATAGGTTTAGCAATTGAGCCCATTCACTGCTTTACTACTTGGTATAGTTCTGATTACCATACCAGTTTGGGTGCTGGATACTGATCAAATGTATTGCCGCCTAGCAACTATAAGTTGCTAAGGATTCCTTTATGGTCTACTTCCAAAGACCTCCAACTACCATCCAAAATCACAATCCTTTTATATTTGTGCAGCAGCACCTCCAGACCAAAGTGTTGTGACAAATCAGATGAAAACAAGTTATCAATTAGTTCCTTACTGGTGTCCATGTGACATTAAGCTTCCTACAACAGTGTAACAAGGAAGCTATCAGCAAACCAAAACAGTGGATCTAGTCATCATCCAAATAAAACTCAGGGGAAGAACCTAGTTTTTAGTATTTCCTAATTTTTCATCTCAGGCATTTTCCCAAATATCTCTGTATTCATGGTACTCCATTTTATCTTTTATCATTTAGGTTATGCTTCCTATGAAAATTTATAAACATCTGAAATAGAATTGTTATTTAAAAATTAAACACAAATGGGGAAAAATACAGAAGTCTTTTTAGTGTCCAATATAGATGACTAGCCTTGAGAAATTAGGCAACATTGTTCATAGCATTTTAATTCTTCCACTAGTATTCTAAAAAGTGCATGAAGTTAGTTACATATACAAAGATAATCATGTAAATGCAACTTTTTAAAATATCAAGTAAAGTTCATATGAGACATGTGTTCCAACTTACAAGGTTTTCTATTTGTGTCATTTTATTTAGAGAGGTGCACACACACACACACGCACACACACACGCACACACACACTTCTCCAGTAAAGCCACAACTAATCACAGATTGTTGCTGTCAAGTGTCGTTGAGTTGGTTCTGACTCCTAAGGACACTGTACAGGGTTTCCAAGGAGCAGTTGGTTTGTCTGAAATGCCGACCTTGTGATCCAGTGCTGATCCTACAGCGCCACACCAGGAGTCGCAGATACAGACACCACAAATAAAGGGGAAGGGCGGAGCTTGGAAGCCAAGGGACAGCTCTATTTGAAACATTAATTATTACTTCCGAACTTATCCTTATCTTAAATGTAAACTTTCTCTCTATAATGTATGTATTCCTGTAAGTTAAAAGTTTCTAAAACTAAGCCGTGCACCTACTCCTTCAATTTGCTTTTCTCTCCCTCTTCCCTTCCACAGCCCTGTATCCTGGCCACTTCTTAGATGAATTTGAGCTCTACGTGGTGCCGTGATTAAATCGCTTGGCTAATTGAAAGGCCAGAGGTTAGAACTCATCAACTGCTCTGCAAGAAAAAGATGTGGCCGTCTGCTTCTGTCAAGATTTACAACCTTGGAAACCCAATGGGGCAGTTTTACTCAGAGGCCTCCCTGGGCCATTTGAAGTAGGATGCCTCTGAGCAGTTTCTATTAATCATCTCAACTTCCATGGTCAGTTGATCACTCAGCAAATAATACTTTGTAGGATAAGCACTGGACTGCTAACCACAAGGTCGGTGATTCTAACCCACCAGCCTCCGGAGAAAGATGTGGCTGTCTGCTGCTGTCAAGATTTACGTTTCGGAAACCCTATCTAGGGTTGCTATAAGTTAGAATCGACTTGCCTAAAATGGATTAAGGTACACTATGTGATCTTGCTTTGCTGAGCTCGAAAGATTAACGAGCTTGAGTTGTATGTTTGAGCTGACATTATGATAAAGTTATCTAAAAGATTAATATCCAATATTTGGACAAGGACACAATTTCAATGCATGTTCTCCATCGACAGGTCTCTGGCTCCACTATGTCCTATACAGTAATAATCGACTGGACTAGACTAGAGAGTGTTGTTGTTATTGTTGTTAAGGGCCGTGGAGGCGGCTCAGAGTCACAGCGACCCTGGGTTTGGTGTGAGGTGCTCCCTGACTCGCCTCCTGAGTGAGGACCAGCTCTGCGCTGACCCGAGCTCGCACCTGGGGACGAAGCCGGGCTTGGAAGTGGTTAAGTGACATGGCCGGATCCCGTGACTCCAAATCAGGTACAGGGCAGGCCTGTCATTGCCGCTGGCCGCGCTTGGGAGGGAGGGCCGGGGTCCCAAGCCGCCCCTGACCCAAGCGCGACCCTAGGCGGAGAACAAGCCCGGGTCTCAGCGCCCGGGTCACCGCGCTTCTGCCGCCGGCCCCACTAAGTCGCCTACAAAACAATCGGGCAGCCAGTGAACGCCGGGGTCAAGGCGGCCTCCCGGCGCAGCCCGCCTCACACTCAGACACCTTCGGCCCGGCTGACGGCTGACCGCCGGGGCAGAGAGCGGACTCGAGCCGGAGCCACCTGGGTTGGTGGCCGGTGGTCGCCAGACGGGCTACGAGAGCTTCCCGTCAGGCCCACACGCAGGCCGCGCGAAAAGCGCGTGCCCGAGTCTCGAGCAGCCCCCAGCCGCACTCACCTCTCTCCGGGATCCACCGAATCCATTGCCTCCGATGACGACGACGACGACATGGTTGCCACCGCTGTGTAAGTGTAAGCGCCGGACTGCGTCTTGAAGCCGGCTGACAGGCCGACTGGGCCACCCGGGGCCGCAGCCGCCCTTAAGGCCGCTCCGTCCGCGCATGCGCCATCCACCCACTCCAGCGACCCGGCAGCGTGGCCGCGCGCAGCTAGTGCCATGCCATCCCACCCAGCCCCCGCCCGCCACCACGTATGCGTCATCTCCCGACGTCGGCGCTAGGCAAGACAGTCAACTTAGAGGCACTGGTGTGGTATATCCCGCAGAACGAGGTAGTAGCTGGTATTGACTGGCAGGTGCTAGACACGGGGCAGACACCTGGGAGTAACCTGGGGACTGAAGCTGAACTCTGCTTGGGGAAAACCAACAGAGTATATGAGGAATGTTGCCAATTGGTAAGAAAACAGGTGAATCTTAAAGCTCTTCAATCAATATTTACTGATGGGGCGGCCACTCTTCTACACCCTCAAGTTAGAGTAGTGACCAAAACCAGCAAAGGTCGTTCTCTTCTATCTACTTGGAAGGCACTTTGGGTCCTTGGGAGAGAAGCACTAATGTAACATGCCTTGACCTGTTTTCAGGTCTTTTATCCATCAGGTTCAATCTGCAATACACTCTCTATCGTAGGATAAGCACTGGACTGAAAAACTAAAGGTTGGCAGTTCAAACCCACCAAATGATCCTCGGAAACCCTGTGCAGGGTCGTAGGAGTCGGAATCTATTCGTCTGGCCCTTAAAGTCAACAACATCATTACTCAGGAGAAAGATGAGACTTTGCGTCTGTAAAGATTTACAGTCTCAGACACCTTATGGAATAATTTACTACTCTATATTCACTATGAGTCAGAACCGACTCAACAGCACTTAACAACAACATAGGGTTGCAATGACTCGGAATCAGTTGATGGCAGTGGAATGCCATTCATTCATTTGTGTTTACTATGTGCCTACTATGCATGTTCTGGCCTAGGCGAAGGATTAAACTAGATTTCCAGTCTTTATGGAGCCTGAGCTCATATATTAAGGAGTACTGGTAGCACAATGATTAAGCACTAGGCTGTTAACCAAAAGGTCAGCAGTTCAAACCCACCCAGTTTGCTTTGTGGGAGAAAAGACCTGGTGACCTGGTCCCATAAAGATTGTTGTTGTTAAGTGCTGTTGAGTTGCTCCTGACTCCCATAAAGATTACAGCCTAGTAAACTCTGGCACAGCTCTACACTGTCATATAGGTTTGCTATGAATCAGAATTGATTCCACCATACACAACAAGCTCATGTCTTACCTTTTACTATGTATTCAGTCCATTGTCTCCTTTCCTGACTCTGGCCTCTCACGACAGCTTCTCTGTCTAGGGAGCCCTGTTGCTATCACCCATCTGGTACTCAGATTCTCAGGGTTGCATATTGTTATTGTTTTTTAATGAAAATTTTTTTCTTTAAACTTTTTATAGTGAATTGAGTGAAGGTTTACAGACAACATCATCAGCTTTACATTCAACAAATCATACACTGTTTCTAGTCAATGATTACAATCCCCTCCATGCAACAACAGTTATCCCACTTCCTCCCTCTGGTTCCTATTTCCATTCAGTCTCAACTTTGTCCTTAGGTACAGGTTGCCCTTTTGATTTTTAATGATTGAGTGTTCCATCATCCCTAGTGAGCTTACCTTAATAGGGGTGTTGGCTTCCCCATATGCCTATCTACTGCTTGGCGGAAAGTTGGGTCACGAGGATGAGTTCCTTTTCAGACCTGATGACTGGTTGACAGCCATAGTCCCAGGTTCCTCCCATCTCTTTCTGACCAGTCAATCAGGTCTTTTAAAAATAATTTTGACTTTTGTTCCACATATTCTGCTGCTCTATCTGGGACCTGTTAATGTGATTTCTTTCAGAGCAGTTGGTAGTGGTAGCTCGGCACCATCTAGTTCTGGTCTCAAAGTCTTGGATTGATGTTCATGTGTTCCATTAGTCCATTGGATTAATTGATTCCAACTCTCTTCAATTCTCATCATTCTTCTGTCTTCCACACATGGAGAGACCAATAGCTGTATTTTAGAAGACTGCTCATGAGTTTTTAAGATCCCAGATGCTACTCAACAAAGTAGGATGTAGAACATTGTCTTTGTGGACTATGTTATGCCAATTGACCATGGTGTCCCCTGAGACTGTGGTCCTGAGCCCCCAGGCCTAGCCGCTCATTGCCTTAAGAGGCTTGATAATATCTAAGAAGTTTTCATCATTTTGCCCACTGCATGCTTTACTACATTCATAGTTGTATTTGTAGGAAAGGTAAATACCCATGTACCAATATTCTCTTTCAAACTCTTACATATTTGTGGGATAGATAGATAGATAATGTAAATATATGTATATATATATGGAACATATATGTTTGGAACACATATATATATTTGGAATACATATATATATTTGGAACACATATATATTTGGAACACATATATATTTGGAACACATATATATATTTGGAGCATATATATATATGTATGTTTGGAATATATATGAATATATATATATCACTCTTTCCCCATAGCCATTCAACCTGTGTTTCGGTCATATACCTTGCTCATAGAACATTGTTGTTCCAAGGCTGTGTATTTATCACCATTTACCTCTATCCCCTTTAGCCCTTGCATACCTCCTAGTGTATTCACCTGTCTTCATCATTCTTCTGTCAACCTCCTTCTTCTTGTGTATTACCCTCCCACTTCTTGCATATTGCTCCTTCATCATCCAAATTAATATGTGCCTACTGTATAGTCAGTGAATTACTCTCCCTTCCCTTATACCCCTGGTATGAAAACCTTTTCTTGAGTTTTTACAATAGTGGCCTTATGCACTATTTTCCCTTTTGTGATTGACTAATTTCACTCAGCATAATGTCATCCAGGTTCATCCATATTATGAGACATTTCGTAGATTCACTGTTATTCTTCAATGTTGCATAATATTCCATTATGTATATGTACCGTAGCCTATTTATCCATTCTTTCATTGATGGGCATTTAAGCTGTCTCCATTTTTTTGCTATGGTAAACAGTGCTGCAATGAACATCTGTGTGCTTGTATCTACTCATGCCCTGGCTCTTATTTTTGTGACTATATACCAAGTAGAAGGACTGCTGGATCACATAGTATTTCTATTTCCAACTTTCCGAGGAAGCACCTAACCATTTTCCACAATGATTGAACCATTTTACAGTCCTACCAGCAATGTAGGAGGGTCACAGTCTCTCTATACCCTCACCAGCATTTGTTTTGTTTTTATTGATGAATAATATTTTATTTTTATTAATTTTATTGATACTGGGTGAGATGAGATCTCACTATTTTAATTTGCATCTTTCAAATGACTCTGGTAGCATAGTGGTTACAAATCAGGCTG